CAAGGCCACCACGTCCCCAAGTGCCACATCCACGTGGCTTTTCAATCCCTCCCTGGATGGGGACTCCCTCAGCAGCCCTTGGGACTGTGGGGACTCTTAGGACCTTGTTTAAAATAACCACAAAAATCCCCTTGTCCATTAAAAAGTGAGTTATTATTGGCTATAAATCCAAGTATAAAGAACTGAATGGAAAATGGGGAAAAAGAAGACCACGCTCAGAACTTCTCACCAGTCTTCAGGATGTATTTTGCAAACTCAGAATGGTAAAACCCACTCGTTATCAAATTTAGGGAGCTGCTATCTAGCAGCAGAGAAAGCAGAAGCTCAAGCACTGTGCTTTAATTTGTGGCAGATAAAGAGATTGATGCCATAAAAGAGGCAAATCTTTTTTATTAAGCTCTACAGCAAATTAGAAGGAAAAACCCTGCGGACCCCGAGATGTTATGGTCTATTTTAACTTTTGCTGCAGTCTGCAATCTTTATCCATTTTATCAAAGAATTAGACATGCCTAGCAGGCATGATGGCATCTATTCTTCCTTTTTTTTTCTTTTTTTTGCCAGTTTAGTACTTTTCCTCTCATAAAATACTCTAAGCTTGTCTCCAATAATCCTCCCAAATCTCTAACCCTTGCTGAGACAAGGAGGGCAAAAACCATCAGCCTACAAACACACTTCAGCTTCAGCCTTCCTATGGAGAAAGTCACCAGGGCCACGACAAACCCCACTTTTCTGCTCTGACTTCTCATTTCTCCACTCTCCAGTTTTCCACGTGACCCTTTCAGCCAAGGAGAGGAAGGGGAGACAGGGTAAACCACAAACAAATACAAACCAGAGGAGGGGAATGTTTTTTGGTTTTTTTTTTTTTTCCAGCTTTTATAAATCCTGTGATGATAATCTCCTAAATGGTTTGCTGGGGAGCATCAGCAGGCCCACATTTTTTTTCCTCCCAGAAAGCACAGTCACTTGAAATTCCTGTGCAGTGCTCAGGGTTTTCTGCACATCCATAGTAAACACAACCCAGAGGAGCTCTGGAAAAATTATCCAAGTCCCACTCACACTCTAAAAAATCTGTGAGGCTCCGTCATCATCAACAGAAGCTCCTTCCCTATGTGGTTCTTAAAAATAAAGAGCTCCCACAAATTTCAGATCTGCAAATGCTGGATATGCCTTAAAAGCTGGATCTTTGCTGCCTGGGATCCTAATTACAGGTCTGGGATTCCTGCTTCAGATGCCCATGGCACACCTGTCCCCAGCAAAAGAAAATCCTAGCAATTCCCGACTGTTGCTTCCCATTCAAGCTAAAAAACAAATATAAAACCCCACCTCAAGATTATCCACCCAACAAAGCACTGTTAAAGCAGAGCATGACATGAAATATAGATCATGGGCATGTTTCTGCATTGATTTTACATTGATTTTACTCTCTCTCTGCCCAGGTGGACAGGTAGGAAGTGCAATCACATCCTGACTTTCTCCAAAAATCAGGTTTACACAAATTTTACTGGGAAAAAGTTCCCCCTGGCTGTGAGGGTGGGCAGGCCCTGGCACAGGGTGCCCAGAGCAGCTGTGGCTGCCCCTGGATCCTGGAATGTCCAAGGCCAGGCTGGATGGGGCTTGGAGCAGCCTGGGACAGGGGAAGGTGTCCCTGCCATGGCAGGGGTGGCACTGGGTGGGATTTAAGGTCCCTCCCAACCCCAATCCTTCTGGGATTCTATGAATGTGCATAAATAAACACAGCCCTGCCACTGACATTCTTCCCTGGTATTTAGGGATATCAGTGTTTTTGACACAAAAGTAGGAACAAAGTGATCCAGTTGAGTGGAAGGAACAAGAAGGTGACACAATTTAAACAGCTCTGGAGAACTGTGTCTGTCCAACTGGTATTTGAGTCACATGGAAATAATTCCTAAAAAATTTTTCCCTCTTTTAAATAGCCACAGATTAAGAATCAGTATTTTTAAATTCAGAGACTTAAAAGACCATCAACAGGTAAAAAAGCAGACCAGTGGATTTTATTTGTCACTGAAACAGAAATCTTCATCTGTTCACTGAAGGGATGCACGGCACGAGAATCCAGCAGCATCCAGAGGGACCGAGGGACTGGAATTTGGAACCAGCAAAAAGAAAATACTACAGAGCACGCCAGGAGCTGTTTCCTAGTCAGTCATTCTGGATGGGATATTCCTACGGACTGAAGGTGAGAAATGAGGGATTTTTAAGCCGCAAAGCTGAGCCCAGCTGGTGAGGAAGATCAGGGCACAGGCAGGAGGGGGCTCAGTGGGGACAGGAACAGGGAGAGGAATGGCCCGGCACAAGGAGAGACTTTGGGAATTGCAGAGGAAACAGAAAGTACACGGAGCACTTGTGCTGCGGAAAGGGAAACCGGGGGCCTCTGCAGATCCCATCAGCCCCAAAGGCAGGGCTGGGAGACAAATGGAGCTCCTGGAGGGAGGAGAGAGCTCACAGAGGGACACAGCAAAGCCCTGCTTCCCTCCTGACAGCCCCTGGGAACGCTGCTGGGAGCAGGCAGGGCTCCCTGCGAGGAGCTGAGGAGCAAGGCCTGGAGTGCCAAGCACACCTGGACCCTGAGCCAGAGGGAATTCTGGCCACAGCTCTGCCAGCAGGTGACATCCCCGCGGCCAGCATCCCACCTCCCTGGCAGGCAGAGCCCTGGAGAAGCTCCCAAGGCAGGCAGTGCCCTGGATCATCCCACAGCCCTCGCTGCCCCGAGCGGAGCAGAGCACAAATCCAACCCAGCCCCATCCAATTACCGCTGCAATTATCTCCAGAGCAGGTACTGAAGGCCTTTCTCAGCAGTGCTGCTCCCAAGCCTTCCCGCTCTCCCCCGAAATGCTGCCCTGCTCTTCCCTGCTGTCCCTGGGAACCCCTGGACCAGGGAAACTTCCCTTCATTCAGAAGATTTTACACGCCCTGGGTTGTTCACCTACTGCAGTGCAGGCTGGCCACGGAGTCTGAGTATCCAGCAAGAGCAGAAAGTTCTCCCTAAATTACTGTATCCCGGTTATTCCGCATAAATCTTTGTGCAATTCAGGTTTCTCGCTCCAAGGGATATTTTCAGAACAAACTCCAAACGAATTTTGCTTCCAGTCCCTTTGTTCCAGAGGATATATATCTACCTGCCCAAAAAAAAAAGTGTGGCTTTGCTGACAGCCCGGAATTTTAATCAGCTGAAGAATATAGCCCAAACCCCCTAGGTTTGGACAGTAACACTTATCCCACCTTCCCTAAAATAAAGCACGGGATTTGGGACAGAAAAATTCCTCCCAAAAACCGTCAACATTTGCTTTGGTAAATAAAATGTTGGGATGCATAGCAGGGTAAGTTGGTATTTGCAACTTACAGAACACAAGTTAGTCAGATGGAACACAAATTTAATGCAAAATACACAATGCTGGTTGATATCAGTCCTTTTAATGACTGGGTATGCATAACAGGAATAAACACACAGATCAGAGTTGTTGTTTGGGTTTGGTTTTTTTTCAAAGAGACTCAACCATAAGGGTCAGGAGAATCCACGAAACAGTTAAAATTCAGAATCAGAAAGAACTGAAGGAAAAAAAAAAAAAAGAAAATAAGCATTTGGCCTCTTCATACTAATTTCCTTTTTCTTTACATTGCTCAACATCGCTCCTCAATTTGAGTTCTAATCAACATCCACTTCACAGCTCACATTTTATGAAATAATGCAGTTGATGCAATCAAGTCCAGCAAAATGTTTCCCTAAAGATGTTTCCATCATTCACATTCCTTAAAAAAAACCACACACACACACCAAAAAAAAAAAGCTCTGACTTCCTCCATCAGTATTTAACAGCAAAAATAAACACACCACTGCATCTTAAATCATATTCTGATTAAAACAGAAATAGAATCTTTCTGGGGTTTCTTTCTGCTTAGCACAACATGTCTTTGTCCAGGAGAGGGGGAAAAAAATACCCTCAACCTGCTCATTTTTCTGCACTTGACAATAATGAGCACCAAATAAATAAAATTCAGCCTGTGGAGATACAAACCATAACCCAAAACCCCATCACCATGTGCAGTGGGGGGCAAAAAACGCCCCCAGAACGCAAGCCGCTGCAAAACCTCTTTCTGCTAATGAATATTTATTTCATTTCCATACTTCCAGGCTCCCCTGCTTTCTATAAAGGACTGAAACCAAGCTCCTTTTTGGCTTTATTCCCCCCACAATATAGCGATGGACTTCGCTGCCCTGAACGCCACAAAGCCAACAACAGAGCATTAAAGAGACATTTAAAAAAGAGGGGGGAGGGAAAGAAAAGGGGGCGGCGGGGGGGAGGAAGAAATAATCCACATTTTCATAAAAAAAAAAAAAAAACCCGACCGGAACAGTCATTTTATCCAGGCAGAAAAATCTCAACACCGCCTTGCATTTCCCGACCTGGACGTCCCCGCTTTCATTCCTGTGGATGCTGCGCGCCGGCATCCCCCCGCTCCGCGCAGCCTTTAACCATTTTATGCCCGTTTTATCCCGTTTTACCCCCGTTCCAGAAGGGCCGGAGCCGCAGCCGAGGGCAGCCCGCTGCCTCAGCCCGGCCGGAGTTGCCGCGGGCCGCTCCGTGTCCCCGGCGGCGCCGCTCGGGGCCCGCGGGACATCCCGGGCTTCGCCCAGCCCGGGGCACCCCCAGCCCGGGCAGCCCATCCCTGCCCCACGGACCGGGCTGAGCCTGGAGCGGGCACGCAGCCCCGGAGGGGACACGGCCCCTGCCGGGGGGGACAGCGGCTTTTGGGGGGCAGCAGGCAGGGGGGCACAGCCCGCTGCGGGGACCGGGGGGATGGACGGGGACACCCGGCGGGCTCTGCGACCGGGGGGACACGGGCTCTGCCGGGATCCCCCCGCCCCAGGGCTCCGCTCGCCGCCCGGGCTGGGGATGCTGCCCCTGCGCCCCCCTCCATCACCGCCGTGCCCCCGCCGCTGTCACCCGGGGGTGTCCCCCCTTCCCTTCCCCTCGCCTTACCTGCGGCTGCTCGGGCGGCGGCGGCCCCTGTGCCGGTGCAGCAGCTCTCCCTCTCCTCCTCCTCCTCCTCCTCCTCTTCCCGCTGCTCCCGCAGCCGCCAGCCGGGAATGGGGGGGGTAGGGGGGGGCAGTACCACCAGCGGGACCGTTACAGTCGCCGCCGCTGCGGGGACTACAGCTCCCGGCGTGCTCCGCGCTCTGCCGCCGCGGCTCGCCGCTGGCCGCCCCGCGCGAGGAGTCATGGGTAGTGTAGTCCGCGCTGCAGGCGGGGGAAGGACATAAGGCGACAGGGCCCGGACGGGCGCGGGGCGTGCTGGGAGGTGTAGTACGGCAGGGATAGAGCCGCCCGGCATGGCGGGAGTTGTAGTTCAGCGAGGCATGACGGGCGCTGTAGTCCGCGAAGGCCGATGGGCGGCAGAAGGCCGCTACGGGAATCCCACCGGGATGTGCCAGGTGGGGCTCCACGGCCATCCGCGAGCTGATCCCGGCTCCGGGAGACCCTTCCCGGGTCGCCTGGCGGACGCAGAGCCGCGGGCCGGTAGCGGGAGGGGAGCGGGGAGCCGCGGGGCCCGGCCTTGCCCGCCGCCCTCACGGAGCGCTGCCCCTGCCGCTCCTCGGGTGCGGATCTGCCCTGGGAATCGGGGAATGGGGACGGGGCAGCGGCGCTCTGTTTGCCAGCCCTGGGACGGGTGCGGAGGGATGGCACGCGTGCCGCAGGATGTGTGCCATCCCTCTCCTTGTGCATTTCTCCCGCAGGATCCCAGCGGCACCAACGGGACGCGCTCCGCTCCTGGAGAAGGAGGCTCCGGAGGGATTTGGGGGTGTGTGAGCCGGGGTGTACCCCGTCCCAGAGCGGCGATGGCAGGAACAGCAAACGCTGTCCCAGGTCCAGCTCCGAACCCCCAGAGCTGCCGTCTCCACGGCTCCTGGAATCTGGGGAGACCCCCTGTGGAAGGCAGGGATTTCCTGAGAGGTGGCAAGAGTTCTGGAAATTCCTAAAACGCAAGGCTGCCGCTGGGATGGGGGAGATCCCCAGCAGCAAGCACGAGCCACTGCAGGAGGGAAAACAAACCAGAGGCATCCAAGTTCATGGATTTTATTGAACAACCCCCAACTCCTATGGAAAATGGGGGGGAAATCCAGGATCTGGCTCTTCTGAGAGTGTATTCCCACATGGCATCCTCTCCTTTCGCTGGCTGGAGATAATTTCCTGGCTCTTTGGGTCGCCATTTCCACCCAGCATGCCTCAAATTTATCCTATTTAACATTTTAAAAACCCCACCCTAGTTTACAAAAAAAAAAAAATGGACCAAGCCCCCCAAATCCCACACCGGCACCGTTTCCTTCCCAAGAGGAAAACCACAATGGAAAAGTTTTGACACCAATTAATTCTAATTAATATCTGTATGGAGAGGCAGCCCAATCCACTGGATAAATCAGGATAAATCCAGATTTCAGCCCAAACCCCTTCCTAAGGGAACTTTTTTCCGGACTCACGGCAGGACAAAGTCTCTAGCCCAGCCGGATTTCCCAACAATTTCCCTGATTTTGGGAATACTCAGCAGCACCAGGATGTTCTGCAGCCCCACAGCCAGCACAGGGGACTCACAAGGCTGTGAGTGTGGGCTGGCTGAGGGGGTGATTCCCATTTAACTCCTTTGGGATCATCCAGCAGGCTGCTGGATTAATTTAATTCCTTCTAAAAAAAGAATTAACGCCAGCGCTGGAGGGAGAGGAGGGGAAAGGGCTTCACATTGAAAAACCTGCTGGAATAGAAAAAATAATATATATATATATATAAATAAATAAATAAATACAGTGCTGCCATGTGCTCAATAAACATCTTTTATTAAATGGTTTTATAAACAGCCTCAGCTGTCACTTGACTTGTGTCCTGACTTCCCAAATAATCCAACCTCATGTCCCAGAGCCCGGGACGGTTCTAATTCCAGCAGAAGCCAGGACAACAGAAGCCTTGATTTTGACCCAGAGGGTTGCTCGCTCCACTCGGAAATTTATTTCAGACGAGCACTTTGGTGCTTAAAACTTGCGTTTCCCCGGTTTATTTCGGCATCAAACACCTCCTCAGCGCCATTCTCAGGAAAACCCCAGGCGTCGCTCCCCGTGCCCAGGGCTTTTTTTGGGGCTAAATGTCGGGAAAGCGGGGTTTTCCCGGCGGGCAGCGCTCGGGGACGCGGTGCCGGACTACAGCTCCCGGCGAGCCGCGCGGGCGGCAGAGCCGGGCGGCGGGAGCGGAGCGCGGCGCATCCCGCAGCGGCACCGCCGCCTCCGCCCGGTGAGGGACGCGCGGGGCGGCTCCGGGGCCGGGGCAGCGGGCACGGACACCGCGGGGCGGGGGGGCCGCTTCTCACAGCGGGCACGAACGGGCTGCCGCGAAATTTGGGTGCGGAGCGAAATTTGGGGGGATGTCAGGGATGTGGGGTGAGGGCAGCAGATGTGTGTGAGCGCAGGGGGATGGGGTGGCACAGGGGTGTGAGTGCAGAGGGGTGGGGGTACCTGGGGGTGCCAGGGGATGGGGGTATCCACGGGCTGGGATTTCCCGGGGATGTGGCAGTGCGGGTGGTGGGACCAGGGCTGCAAACCCCACGGGGACCTGGATGCTCGGGGGTTCGGGCACTCGGTAACGCAGGCACAGAGGTGCTGGGGGGGTGTTTGTGCCTTGCCGTGCCCCCGGAGCCGGTGGGAGATCTGAGTTGCCATCACTGCGAGCTGGGATTCCTGGTGGATATTGGGGATATGGCTGGGGAACTGCTCCTGCCTGTCCCTGGGGTGCTGGCTCTGCTCGGGGACCTGGGGAGCGATGACTTCATGGCCTTATTAAGGACTAATTTCCATCCAGGCAGGGAAAATAAACAAGTGTAGGTGTCGCTTAGCATGGAAAGTTACTGGGGCTGTGGGGAGGCACTGCCTGTTTTCATACACGGCCCGGATTTCTGCACTTACCTCCACGGGCCGATAATCCCTAAATCCCAATGAGATTAAAGGCAGGAGGAAAGGTGGCCCGAGTGCCTCCTTCGCTTCCCAGATGACGAAATCCCCCGATTAACCCGGGCGCTGAGCTCATCCCCCAGAAATACCAGGAGCAGCAAGGGTGAATCCCCATCCCCGGAGGCTGTGGGGAGGTGGGAGCCATGGGCAGAGCCGGAGTGAGGCAGGAGCTGCTCTTCTAACTCCGTTATTGTTCCCATCCCAGCAGATCCGGCCAAGCCCGCGGCAGCCATGGCGCTGGTGAAGAGCGGTTGGCTTTGGCGCCAGAGTAAGTGCCACCCTTGAGCTTTCCGGGTTGGGAGCCCCCCAAAAACACCTGGAGAGGGTTGCAGGGAAGAGGTGGGGTGTGGGGGACACATGGAGCCCCAACCTGTGCGGGTGATCCACGGCAGCAGGGAGATTGTGGCTCAGCCGCTCGTGGATTTACGTCAGCGGAGAGAGGGGCTGCCTGCCATGAAAACACACACGGCTCCATGTCCGGGGCTGGATCCGCTCCCGCGCCTCGGCAGGGCAGCACCCAGTGGCCTGATGGCTTTTTTGGCAGCCTTTTCCCACTGACATCCACCTGCTCACACTGCCCCGCATGCTCGTGCCAGGCACAGGTGTCCTGTGGGATGGAGGGATCACAGGAGGGATCCAAGTTTGGGGGATGAGGCTGTGAGCGCGCTGGCCGCGTCCCACCGGCCTCGCTGGGCTCCTGCACCTGCTCCCTGTCCCACCAGGCTCCATCCTGCGCCGCTGGAAGAGGAACTGGTTCGTGCTCTACCTGGATGGCAGCCTGGTTTACTACCACGACGAGACGCAGCGGGACATGGACGGCCGGATCCACATCAAGTACAGCTGCCGGGACGTGCGGATCGGCCGCGAGTGCAAAGGTGAGCCCAGCCCCTGCTCCCGAGCCCTGCATTCCCAAACCCATCCTCGTTGCACCCCTCTTAAACGAGGCTCCACCTGTGCACATCCTGCAGACCCCCAAAAGAACCCATTAATAGCCCCAGGCTGCCCCGTTCACCCCTCCTCGCTCCCAGCCAGGAGACGCTGGATGGTCTCTGCCATTGCTTTTCCCGGGGAAGGAGGGAAGGAAGGAGCAAGGGAGGAAGGAGGAACTCTCCTCCTGGTTTGTGCTTGTAACAAACAGGATCCCACGGCCCTGACTCATCGCTCACGTCTCGCACAAACAAGGGGAACAAAGCAGCAGCTTGGCGGGGCCCCGCAGCCCACGCCGCCGCACAAAGCGCCTTTCTCGGGCTGGGAGCGGCCGTGGGAGCACAATCCCACAGCTCTGTGCTCACCACAGGGTCCTGCCAAGCTTCAATGGGGAAGACACATGAGCCTCAGGGATTTAAGATTTTGCTCTTGCTGGAGCTCACGATCCCACTCCAGCAATGAGCATCTCCCGTTCCTACAAAATTTGGGTGCGCTCCGGCAAGTTCAAAGCAAAGGCAGCCTCGAGCAGATTTTTGGCAGTTTGCTGCTGTTCCATGTTCTTTCTGCCATGGGGGTAGAGGTTTCTGACCATCAGCTCATTCCTTGTGCTGGCTTTTAACCTGTGAGAGAGCCTGACTGCATCCTCCACATGGAGACGGAGCCAAAACTAAACCCACCAGCTCTCGTGCCAGGAGGAATTGTGGAGCCTGGGGAGGGTCTGTGGGACATCTCCTTGGCTGAGGCTGGATCCCACCCCATCCCTTCCCTCGGCAGACGTGCAGCCGCCCGAGGGGAGGAGCCGGGACTGCCTGCTGACCGTGGTGCTGCGGGACGGCTCCAAGACCACGCTGTGTGCCGAGAGCGAGGACGACGCCGTGTAAGCGACTTTTCCATGCCAATTATCCCAGCCTGGAAAGGGCCCGGGCTGCAGGAGAGCCCTGTCCTGCTCCCACCATATCCCACCCTCGGCTAAAGCTGCCCCCAGCCCCTGTTCCCAAACACACTTGCAGGGCCGAAGGTGCAGAAGGAGATTTGGGGCTCTCACTGAATAATCTGGGGCCAAAAGCAGTTGGTTTTGAGCAGTCCGTCTCCTGATGGGGGACTTTCCTCGTGGATAAGAAATCCTCTCTTGGCCTGACTGAGGAGAAGGGTTTCCATCATTATTTGGAAATAAACAGACAGTGAACGTGAAGCCCTCACTGCCTTGAGGCAAACTGCCCTTTTTAGCACTGTTCCACTTCTATTTATTTTTTAAAAAATTTCTAAATTAAATTTTAAAACATTATAAAAATTGATTTTTTTGGAATAAGAATTTTAAAAATTAGCAGTGGCAAACGTTCAGCTGAACTTGGATGGAGGGAAACATGCTGTGGCCAAGCAGAACTTCATCAGCTGAGCTTGACCTCAGCTGAATGGAAATTCATCCATTACGTGCTCTTCCCCGTAAATTTAGGTGTAGTTTTCCTGCCTGCCCTTGTTTTAGCCAGGGTCATTCCCAGGGACTGTCCTGTGCCCATCCCTGTGGTGTCAGGTACCTCCCAGCACATTCCCAATCCCAGCTGTTGGCCCAGCACTCCTTTAACAGTGAATTAAAGAATAGTGCCACATCCAGGTCCCCATGGGGAGGAAGGGGACAATTCCCACCAAAACTGAGTACCTCTGTTCTGTTTGCAGTGCTTGGAAGATGGCCGTGCTGGAGGCTAAATCCACCCCGGTGAGGCTTTGTCCCCTGAGCAGGGACATCCTGCAGGGGATTTGGGATTCAGGATGTGGGCAGGGAGAGGTTACCCCAACCCTGAGCTTGGGGGGGCTCCCCAACAGCCACAGTGCAGCCTCAGGGCACAGGGAAGAAGGTGGGGAGGGGCTGGATGCCACCACTGATGGCAGGTGACAGAGCCACGGGGACCCTGTGCACTGGTGGAGGGTGACAGGGGGAAAGTTAAGGTGGCAGGGACACGGGGTTATGGGGACACAGGTAAGGACACTGTTAAGGTGACAGGAGCACCATTAAGGGGGCAGAGTTGCTGGGGTGGGATGCAGTTAAGGTGACAAGGACACACAGTTAAGGTGACAGGGACAGTGAGAGGCAGTAGGAGCAGAGTTGAGGTGACAGGGACACAGCTAAGACAACAGAGACATGGGTAAAATGACAAGGACAATGTTAAGGTTATAGGGACACGGTTAAGGTGACAGGGGCACAGTTGAGGTGACAGGAACAGGTGAAGGGAATGGGAGCAGAGTTAAGGTGGCAGGGACACCATTAAGGTGGCAGGGACACTGTTAAGGTAACAGGGACACTGTTGAAGTGGCAGGGACACTGTTGAAGTGTCAGGGACACTGTTAAGGTAACAGGGACACTGTTAAGGCGGCAGGGACACTGTTAAGGTAACAGGGACACTGTTGAAGTGGCAGGGACACTGTTAAGGTGGCAGGGACACTGTTAAGGTGGCAGGGACACTGTTACAGCGACAAGGAAGGGGCAGAGTCAGCGTGGCCTGAGCACAGGCTGTCCCCAGCCCTTGGTCCCGCTGGGATCCCCCCCAAGGGCCCTGTCCCCCCGGGGCAGCCTGACCCCAGCCTCGCCCTCGCAGGTGCACGTGTACGACCCCTACGACGACGACTACTACCAGACGGTGCCCCTGGACTCCCACCAGGCCGCCTACATCAGCTCCGGCCACTACGGCCACCAGTACGGAGGTGGGTGGCCCGGTGGCCCCGGGGGGGCGGGTGGCCAAGGCCATCCCCCCGCCGACAGCCCGTTTTCCCTGGCAGCTCCCGGCGTCACCCACGTCATCGTGCGCGAGGATCCCTACCGCGTCTCCGGGGACCAGATGGCGCTGGGGCTGCTGGCCGGGGCCGCCACCGGCGCCGCCCTGGGCTCCTTCATGTGGATGCCCTGCTGGTTTTAGTGGCCGCCGGGCTGGGCCACGGCCCCCCTTTGCTCCCCAGCCCTGCCTTGGAACCTGCCCCGAGCGCCCCGCAGCCTCCCCAGGACGCCCCGGGACACACGGCCTGCTCCCAGCCCCAGCTTGTGCATTAAGTAACCCCCACGTGCTTCAGAGCCCCCCAAATCCCGCTCCAGAACCCCACAGCACCCGATTCCCATCGGCAGAGGGCCCGGGGAGCTGCCAGGGCTGTCGGCAGAGCTTCCCCATCCCAAATCTCCACAGGGAGCTGGCTGCAGAAATTCCGGGTTTGGGAGAAGGGGGACTTACTTAGTTTGGGGGAAAGTGACTGGATCTTTTTTGGCTGGGTGAACCCCACAACGCAGCTTTTTATGCTTTTTATGGGCTTTGTTTGGGAGAGGCACCAGAGGGCACCACAGGGATGCTCAAGAGGGGGTAAAAGACTAAGGAGGATGAAAACCTTTTCAGGATTTCCACCCCTTTCCAACACGCACCGGTCCCCTGGGCCTGGCCAAGCTGGGGAAATGGTGCAAAACCCTCAGGAATTGGAGTTAAACCCTTGGGAACGAGGCTGAGAAGAGCCCAGGGAATATCCCAACCTCTCCAGCTGAGTGGGAGGGACACACAGCATCCTCAGTTTCAGTTATTTTTGGGAAGGGGAGAAGGGCAGCTCTCCATGGGGACCAGGGAGCCTTTCTGGCAGCCAAGCCGGGATCTTCACAGCAGGGATTTGGGATTGAGGGGGGACACACGGTCAGGCCAGGGGACAAGCAGCAGCTCAGGGTTTTGGTTGGGCGATGGAGGAGGTGAGGAACTGCCCAGTGTCACCCCTAGAGCCTGGATGGTATCCTGGAACCACGACTGACATTGAATTTAGGAATTACAATCCCACAGCTGGATAGAAAACCACCAGTGACACCAGCACCCCAGCCTGCTCCTGCCTTTAGAGCCCCGGGTCAGTTCATCCCTGTGCCCATCAGGGGATTGGGATATCCCAACACACCATCCTCATCCTCTCCTGCACTCCCTGCCTCCCTCCTGCTGTGCACCTGCTCCCAGAAAGGGGGAAAAAATACAAAAAACCTCTTTGAAGTCCAATAAAGGCAGTGAAAAACCAGCCCTGGCCTGCGGGTGAGTGAGGATGAGGAGGGAATGCTCAGTCTCAGCCACCTCCGGGGGTGGGAGGGATTGTGTCCCCCTGGAGAGCTGCCCAGGGGTGTCACCAGCTCCCCTTTGCTTCCCTGCCTTTCCAGCCAGGAGCTCTGGGGTCACACCTCCAGCATTGGTGTGGCACAGTGGGACAAAGCTGCCCCCAAAATCCTGCTCCTGTGCAAGAGAAGCACCATTTGTGCTGGCAGAGCAGCTCCTTCCTCTGCATCAGGGATTGATGGGATGAGGCCCAGCACAGCCCCGGGCTCTGTCTGATGTGCAGAGCAGAGCCAGGCCCGGCTGCCAGCCCCTAAGGCAGGGACTCAGCCCCTCCGTGCCTCCGTTAATTCAGCACCAAGCCCAGAGTGGAGAAGGGAAGGATCCAGCCCCATGCACCCACTGCATCCTCATCCTTGTGCCCGTGATCCCGCAGTGCTCACTCACCCCGTGGCACTGCCACTCCTGGGCCACTGGTGCAGCCCCCACGGCCACTCCTGCTGCAGGGGGGGCACGGGAGTGACACAGCTCCTGTGACACCACTGTCCCCATCTCCAACCTGTGACACATCCCAGCTGCGTGCTGGCACCCCAAAATCCCCGTGTGCCAGGCTGATCCCCCAGTGTGGGGAGGGGATTGTGCCCCTGTACCCCTGAGCCCAGGTGAGACCCCACGTGCAGAGCTGTCCCAGCCCTGGGGACACAGCAGCAGCACCTGGAGCTGCTGGAGAGAGCCCAGAGGAGGCCCCGGAGCTGCTCCAGGCTGGAGCCAGGCTGGGAGAGCTGGGGGTGCTCACCTGGAGAGAAGAAGGCTCCAGGGAGACCTCAGAGCCCTGGCAGGGCCTGAAGGGGCTCCAGGAGAGCTGGAGAGGGACTGGGGACAAAGCATGGAGGGGCAGGACACAGGGAATGGCTCCCACTGCCAGAAGGCAGGGAAGATTTTCTGGGCAACCTGTGCCAGTGCCTCACCACCCTCACAGGGAAGAATTTTACTCCAATATCTAATTTACCAATCCAATATCCATTTTATGGTTCACCTGGTGCATAATCCCAGGAGAGGCACACAGGGAGATGGAAAGATCTGGAAACTTGTTACCAATAGCAACATGACCTAGAAACTGTCTGTCCTTCCCATGCCACGTCCAGCTGCTGACCTGCAAAAGCTCCTTTTCCCGAGCTCAGACACCCATGCTCCTCATCCCTGCAGTACCTGGACATCCTGGAACTGTTCCTGCTTCTCTCCTGCTGTGCTGGTCTCCCAGAGATCCAGGGATATGGAGCAATCCAGGCAAGGACAGTGCTGGAGCAGCCTCCAGCAGCAATTCCCGGGCTCTTCACGCTGCTGGTGGCAGGCAGGCCCTGCACTAGGGAGCTAAATGAAGGAGGAATTAAATATGATATACATAATTTTGGAAGCACAAACAATAGATCCACAGCCCACAAAAGCTCCTGGCTTGGTCTGCTGCACTCAGCAGGGGCTTCCCAGGAGCTTGTGGTGCCCGAGAGTGGCGCTGGGTAGGAGCAGAGGGACAAGGAGTGCTGAGGGACAGGGATCAGGGCTGACCTGCTCCATTCCCAGCTCCCAGCCAGGCTCGCAGCACTCCTCTCTCCCAGCAGGGAGAGCTGCTGAACCTCCAAAGCTCAGAACAACCCCAAAACCCCTTGGAAAAAAAGGGACCCGCAGTAAGGAGCCATTAGAGCCCATCATGCCCACAAACTGCCTGGAAAATGAATCCCACAATAACCCATGGCACAGGAGTCAGCTGGGGGCCACCTGACCCTCGCTGGGATCCAAACCCACTTCTCTGGAAATGAAGCAGCTCAGGAAATGTCAGGATCAAACCTCGAGTTCCCATACAGCCCCCCTTCACAAGCTGGGATAAATGCAGGAAAGGTCAGTGCCAAACCACCAGTGCTGGCAGCATGGATAAATCCCATTTTCTCCCTTCCCTGCCCTGTACCCGAGGAGCCACTGGCTGTGGGAGAGACACTTCAGTGCTTTAATTAGCAATAACTTTAATCAAGCCTTTAATAACATCCTCGTTCCAGACGTGCTCTCCGGGTGGCCGACAGCGAGCACTCAAAATGGCTCTAATTTATATCCAAACCCTCAGAAACAGGTGGCAAGCCTGGAAAATTCGATTTGGGAACAGCACCAGCAGGGCAGAGCTGTGGGGCAGCAGGAGCATCATCACCCAGCTGCCTGCAGCCCTTCCCTATCCCTCATCCTCCCAGGAAGGGCAGAGCTGCCATTCCACAGGAGTTTAATTCCTGACACGCCCAAGCCCAGCTTTTCCAGCATCCATCTGGGCAGTCAGCTCATTCTGCTCCTACAAGAGGATCCTAAATATTTTCTAAAAATCCGTGTTTGACTTCACCAGGCGCTCGGACCAGGGTGGGGAAGGGGAGAATGGTTAAGGGCGGGGGGGAAATAAAATCGATGGCGAAAAATCCCTTAAACTGATGAAAAAACAATTCCACTGGTGAAAGCCCAAGGCCAGCAAGCCTGGAAAGGCAGAGGGAGAGCAGCAGAGGAGGAGGCAGCGCAGATGGGAGGGAGAGGCTGCTCCGAGGTCCGGGTGTTTGCAGCTGCCTCCCTGACTGCGGGAGCGCCGGTGCCGCAGCCTGCCCGCCCCATTTATCTTCCTTCGGAGCTGGGACATGCCCAGCATGGCAAAAGGTGCCGCTGCAGCAGGTAGGGAGAGCCCTTGCACTTTGGTTTGCCGAGGATTCGGGAGCTGGAAGCAGAACTGCAGCGAGGGGCCGGCTCGGCTGCCGCAGCAGCTCTGCAGATGCTGCCAGGTGGATGCTGTGGCTCCTCCAGCCTGGAAAAATCGGGGCTGATCCCAGCAGCGAGCAAAGAAGCCATCAGCACGCTCCAACCCGAGCCAGATACTCCCTCCTGGATTTTGGAGCCGGGCTGGGAGAGGGAGCTCAACCCAGTGCAGCCACGAGTGGCCAGGAGCACCCTCCGGAGCTGGGGGTGCCCCCCACCCATTCCCTGCTCCACGGCAGGGAATCCCTGCAACTCCCCTTCACCAGAGGGAAGCTGGGAACTGGGACACCAGTGGGAGGTGAGAGCCCCAAGGCTACCCACGGCAGCAGCCAGGGGGGATGGAGGAGGTGAAGGGGGGGTTTGCACAGGCTCCCACCCAGGGCAGCACCTGGAGGTGCCGGCTACAAGGAACAGAAGCTCCCCCAGTGACAAAAACCTCCTCCAGGAACTCGTCCCCCCCACACAACTGTTCCCATACCCCTAATTCCAGCACTACATCCCAGTTTCACGACCCATTTATTCGTGGTCCTTGTAACAGTGAAGAGCTCGACTGAGAGACCGAGGTTTGGGCACACACCAAATCCAGGTAATTCCCCGTCTCGACTGGATGGGGCTTGGAGCAACCTGGGCTAGGGCAAGGTATCCCTGCCCTTGGCAGGGGGTGGCACTGGGTGGTCTCTAAGGTCCCTTCCAACCCAAGCATGCTGTGATTGCAGGATCCTCTCCTTCAGGACAGCAGAGGGTAACTCACCAAAGAGCATGTGTTACTCACCTCCCCGGCCCTGCAGGTCTCCAGCAAGAAGGAGGCTCGAGGAGGATCCTCCCAGGGAAGCTGGGCTCGCTGCACCCGTGTCCCAGGATCCTCCCAGGGAGCTGAGGCAGTGGTGAGGCCGCACAAGGTGCCTTTGGGAAGGGAGCAGAGGCAGCAGCTGGATGCAAGGAGCGGGAAGGGAGCAGAAAGGCACAGCTCAGCCGGCAGAGGCCGGGCTCCGTCCCCGGCACGGCTCCTGGGGCGCTGGAAACAATGGCAGAGACACCGCAGCGACAGCAAACACAGCCCTGCGGCACCTTCCCCGTGCCACAGAGCCCCCCAGAACTCCTCCTGCCCCCACAAAAGGCTCCTGCAGCTCCTCAGCCCCCCGAGGAGCTGCTCCTCCCGCTGCCCGTGCTGAGAGAAGAGACCCAGAGCTTTCCAATGAGACAGGTATTTATTTAGTTCAAGCACTAAGGATTTGTTCTCTTGTTGTTGTTGGTTCATATTATCAAACAGAGCTGAGGTACCAGTGACATTCCAACATGAAGAAAAGGAACCTTTTTTTTTCCCCTTACACAATTTCTTCAACTACTTTTATCAAGACAAAACGTGAGGCATGGAATAGCTGCGTGATGGACTGTACAACGAGCAAGCCAGAGCAGGGAGGAGAAAAGAAACAGAGCCGAGACCTTCACTCAGAAAATCGCACAAAAATCAGCATTAAGAACATCTGTTCCCATGGCTCCACTGGCCACGCCCACGGAGTAAAAGAAAATGAAAACCTAAAACCTGACAGACGGATGGTGCAAAAAAAACCCCAACAAAACAAACAAACAAAAAAAAAATTGATATGAAGACCACGTTGCTCCTGTGCTCACCTTGGAAGTGTGCTTTCTCTGGAGAGCTGGGACGAGGAGAGGAGTGAGCCCTGTTAAGCACAGGCTATCAGCAAGGACATGCACTGAACGTACCTGGCTGTGCTCCTGCAGCCCCCTGGCCGTGCTGAGCACGGAGCTGTGGGAATGCTGCTCTCCAGACCTCTGTTTCCAGCGAGTTCTGGACAAACCTGCTCTCAGGCCTTCCAGGAAAAGCGTCCAGGCTGCTGGTCCATCACAGCCCGTATGGGCTAAGCCAGCTCCTTAAATCCAGTGCTTAAAGCTTGGGACTGTGGGAAGCAGAGGGGGCTGGTTCTATCAGAAGCAAGAAAAAAAAAAAAAAAAAGGATGTGCTTGTGGGGAACAGCCAAATGAGGACCAACAGAAGCTGCACGGAGAACCAAGGGAGAAGAAAGCAAACCAAAGCAAAGGAAGAAGCAGCAGGATGAAGCATTTCAGCACGGTTAAGAACAGTACAACAAAGGAAAAGCAGCCAGGTTTCCTTCCCCCAGAGAGTTTCTTTTAAATAAAGAATGATCCTTTGTCACATATCATTGATGTTTA